TTTTCATTTATTTGGTCTTCCTCAATCCCCACCAACAATATTTTGTATATTTCAATGTATAAGTCTTTCACTTATTTGGTGAAATTTATTCTTAAGTATCTTATTCTTTTTTAATTTAATTTGGTGCAGCCACTGTGGAAAACATATGGAAGTTCCTCGAGAAGTTAAAAATAGAGCTACCTTAAGTATCTTACACTTTTTGCTGCTATTTTAAACAGATTTTTTCCCCTTAATTTCCTTTTCAGATTGTTCATTGCTAGGGTATAGAAATACAACTGATTTTTTTTTTGTATATTGGTCTTTTATCCTGTAAACTTGCTGAACTTGATTACACTTTATCAGTAATTTTTGTGGATTCTTTAGAGTTTTCTGTATATAAGATCATATCACCCACAAATATAGTTTTACTTCTTCCTTTCTAACCTCTTATTTCCTTTGTTGCCTAACTGCCCTGGGGCAAATCTCCAGTACAAGCTTGGACAGAAAGGGAGAAAGCAGTCATTCTTGTCCTATTCCTGATCTTAGGGTGAAAGTTTGCATTCGTTCACCAGCATGATGCTAGCTGTGGGTTTTCACGGATGCCCTCTATCTGGTTGAGAATGTTTCCTTCTATTCTTGGTTCATCTATGGTTTTCATCACAGAAGGGTACTGAATTTTGTCGAACACTTTTTCTGTATTCATTAAGAGTCACATGGTTATTTCCCCCCCATTCTATTAACATGTTGTATTACATTGATGGATTCTTGTATATTGAGCAATAAACCACGCATTCCTGGGGTCAACTCCACTAGGTTTCAGTGTATAGATCTTTCTATGAACTGGTAGATTTGGTTTGCTGATGTTTTGTCAAGGATTTTTATATCTTATTCCTAAGGGATTGTTGGTCTATAGTTTCCTGTTCTTGGGATGTCTTTGGTTTTTGTTGTCAGGGTAATACCAGCCTCATAGAATGAGTCTGGAAGTGTTCCCTCCCCTTCTGTAGTTTAGAAGAGTTTGTGAAGGATTGGTGTTAATTCTTTAAATATTTGGTATGATTCACCCATGAAGCCATCTGGTCCTCGGCTTTTCTTTGTGGGAAGTTTTTTTTATTATTAATCCAATCTCTTTAGTTGCTGTAGGTCTAGCCATGTGTTTTATTTCTTGTTGGGTCGGTTTCGGTGATGTGTGTCTTTCTAGGATGTTGTCCAGGATATCTTCATTTGTTGGCATAAAATTATTCAGAATGGGTGGGGTTATGGACATTGGGGAGGGCATGTGCTATGGTGAGTGCTGTGAAGTGTGGAAACCTGGTGATTCACAGACCTGTACCCCTGGGGATAAAAATATATTCTATGTTTATAAAAAAATTATTCAGAATATTCCCTTATAATCTTTTCTCCCCCTGCCAGGTTGGGAGTAATGTCCCCCTTTTCATTCCTGATTTCAGTAACTTGAATCCTTTCTCCTTTTTCCTTGTCAAACCTAGCTAACAAACCTAGCTAAAGGTTTGTTAACTTTGTCAATCCTTTCAAAAAACCAACTTTTGGCTTCATTGATTTCCCTCTATTATTTTTCTCTTCTCCGCACAATTTTTAAAAAATAATTTCCCGTGATTATATGATGACTTCCAAGTAAAAAGTACAAAAAAATGTATGGTGTACATTTACATGCTGGGGATATAGTATGGCTAGGGCAGACAGGATGCGAGCTTAATGCAGGGGACAGAGAATGATCAAGCAAAAAGATCATTTCTTAATGTGAGAAGTGCCCTGAAGAAAATGACATTTTCTGGGATGGTGTGTAACAGAACTCCTCCCCACTGTAGTCAGGGAAGGGCTTGCTTAGACAGTGGTATCTGGGCCGAAATCCACATGGGGAGAAGACAGAACTCTGGAAGAGTTCAGAGGTGAGATGAGCTGGGAGCATCAGAGGCGCAGAAGGAAGCCCCTGTGACTGCTGGAGCCTGGTGCGGGGGGTAGGAGGTGTGAGAGGCAGGCAGAGCTGGAGGCCTGTTTACAGACAGCTTCCCAGGCCATGGGAGGCACGTGATTTTATTTCTAAGTGGACTGGAAAGTCATGGCCAGGGTTTTAAGTAGGGGAAGGTTGCCGGCTGACATTTGTAAAACATCACTTTGGACCCAGAGTAGAAAATGGAGCGGAAGGGACTGGAAGAGAAGACAATGAGACAGAAGGCCATTTCATAGTGCCAGCAAGAGGGGACGGCACACTGATCAGACTTAGGGGCCAAGAGGGAAATGGAGAGAAGGGGCCAGACTTGGGCTCCATTTTGGAGGAAGAATCAGTGGGAATTCAAGTCAGGAACTCAGAGAAGCAGGCAAGCCTTGGTGTATACATTTGGAATCGTCTTGAAGCCATGGGCCTTGGTGAGGCCAGTAAGAGATGCAGTGGGCGCAGAGTGGAAAAGCGTTTCCACCAAGCATGAGCAGCTCCCGCTCTCTTCCACTGAAGTGACTTCGCTTTCGAGCCCAGACTCCACGTGCAGTTCCTCCTGGTGAGACTGCAGCCGAGCTCCCCTACTCTACGGCGGTGTGGCTGGGGCAAGTTGCCTGTCCTCCTTGAGCCCTGGTTTCTCATTTAGCAGCTGCGGAGAGGAACTCGAGGCTCCGGTAAGGATGGGCCGAGGGATGTCTGCGGTCCTGGCCTGCGCGCTGTGGGTCTTTAATCAACCCCAGTGAAACTGTGTGGTCCCGAGAGGCAGTTATGAGCTGAAGGTCCCGGGCCCAGTAAATAGGATGACCATCGGGGAGACCCCATGCCAGGGCGTCAGGGGTAATCCCGCACACACATGGCTGGGCCCACAGATCTGGCAGCCTGCAGGAGACGGCAGCCTCCTGTCCCAACCTTGGGGCCCAAAATTTAAAACCCCGATCCCACCAGAACCTCTGGCCTGTTGTGTAGCAAAGCTCACCCAGCCTCTGCTGAACAGAGGAAAAGGAAAAGTCATCCTGAGAACCGGCCCTCATCAAACCCAATGACGCTTTTTATCGCCCCGGTAGGCTCTTCTGTATACAGCAGGCTTCCAGAATGCCACTGCTCTGCACAAGGAGGGGGGGCAGGGAGGGGCACTCTAAGCCCTTGCAGCATACACGGGCGCCTACAGACTCAAAGCAGGAAGCAGAGCAGGAAATGCAGGGCCAGAGCCTCCCAGGGGCCATGACCTGTTTCTTTCAAGGTCACAGAGCTACTGGTCTTAGTGGGCTGTCACCACCCAGTCTACACCTGTGAACGGTGGTGTTTCTCAGCTCCCTAGCATCTCCCCTGCCTTCCTTTCAGTAACAATGCTGAACTTCTCCAGGGAGAACCGTATCCCTGCCCTGCTGTGGCATCTCAGTGTAACTGGCCTTCAGGTGCCCACCTCCCTAGCCAGGCTGGCCAGCAGCCTTCCTCTCCCGGGATGGTGTGTCTCCAGCAGAGTGACAGGAGGGCCAAACAACGAACCAACACTGCCCCCTGCTTCCCCCAAAAGACCACACCCTTGGTGCTCATGCATTCTGGATGCCACCTAAACCCCCAACGTGACATTGGGGCTGCCCCTTCTGGCCTGGGGGGGATCATCGACTGACCAGCTACCCAAAGACTTGCAACAAAGTTCTTTGTTAGAAATTTGCCAAGGTGAGCCAGACTCCCATTTCTTTTGCCGACAAACCAGTCCTACGGATTATCCACCCTCCAGTTCTATTTTTCAGGAAGCAGAGAAACTGGTTTTCAGAGAAGACAGGCAAGTTGCCAAAGGCTACCGAGTCAAGGTCAGAATGTGGGTCTCTAGGACTGAAGTTCTGAGAGCTCACCTTTCTTGTTTCCTCGTCTTTAAAGGGGAATATCTACTTCTTAATGGTATCAATACTATGACTAATAACAATAATAAGCACAATAAGAACTGATGTTTTGGAGCCCTCTGGAAGAGCCAGGCTACATTTGATCCTCGTGACATTGTTGCAAGAGAAGGGCTAATACTGTGCCATGTGACAGATGAGAAACTAAAGGAGAGGTCAGGTGAGTCGCCCACGCTCACAAGGCTGTAAATGGTAAGCTTCAAACACAGGCCTTTCTGCTTCTCAAGCCTGTGTCCCACTAGGTATAAATAAAATTATACATAGGATGCCCCGTGCCTGGCAGGAGGCAGGAACAGGAAGTATGGTGAATGTTTTCATTTTTAATACTTTTTCAGAAAAATTAGTAACTTGTTCTTTGGAATTGAGAATACCACTACAGGGGAGAAAATTTTAAAAGGTGCCAAAGAGCGCCCAAGGGAAGCTGTCCACAAGTCACCTCTGTGCCTTCCCCACCCGTATACAGAGGCAAAAGCTGTCCCCAGTTTCTCAGGCCCCTCCTGGAGGGAACTAATAGGGACGCTGAAGCACTGAAGAGGAAAGAGGACTGGGCGGGGCGGCCTGCCTCAGCTTAGCTCCCAGCCTCTGTGTCCAACGTGCAAGTGGAGACAGGAGCAAACACCAGTGCTCTCTTTCTTTCTTTTTGACCATTAGATATTTAAAGGACAGGAAGGTTTGATGTTTCTTGGGAAGCAGGACTCTGAGTGAGTGTGAGCCTGGGGCCTAAGTGGTAGGCTATGAACATGGCCCCACTACCTTCTAGGAGTGTGACCTTGACTAATTCATATTCTTCCCCAGGCCTTAGTGTCTTTGTCTATAAAAGACAAGACCCCTCATTGACCCCCAGGGGTCCCACATTTGGTGGTGCCTGGGGTAAACTACAGGGTGGAGGAAAGGGGGCAACTTGGCTCCACTTTGCTCCCCCTCCCAAGAAAAACCCACAGAGCAGGGATCGGGGAATGAGCTGGGGGGATGGCCGGGGAGGTCCTCACCGGGACCTTTCCCTCAGGCTCCTCCTACTTTGCCCAAATGAAGGACAGTGGAAGATTCTATTCTTCTTCCCCTCCCCACACCTGTATCACCCGCACCTGCATCACAGCCCTATTGTGGGCAGAGAAAATGCATCAAAATACGAGGCCGAGATGCACTCCGGTACTGCCACCACTTACAGCTAAGCTCCTGTTGACCAGGTGGCCCGGCTCCCCAGGCGTGTTCGTGGTCCGGACATCCACGTCATGGGGCGACACGTAAAGCTTGGTGTTGTGCAGGTCAAAGAACTCCACTTCCGTGAGACCCACCCAGGACGCATGGCCCCAGTTGGACAGGATTTCCAAGGTCACGTAGATGGCATCTTCGATGTCTCCGCCTTTTATTCTCAATTTATCCTTAACGAAGAGAAAAGAATGCCAAAGGATCAAAATGGGACAGGCTGGATTCAGCTTACCACTAAGCAACAAGTTAATTTAGCCACTCAGGGCCTCGGTTTCCCCATCCATATAAGGAGAGTAAGAATGCACCCTTACACACGGTTATTACCAAAATTAAAAGAGCTCCTATTTATCAGGCACTTAAAATATTATTACCTGGGGCGCCTGGCCCCATGTTGGGTTCCTTGCTCAGCAGAGACTGCTTCTCCCTCTCCCTCTGCCCTTCCCCCAATCTACTTGTGCTCTCGCTCTCTCTCAAATAAATAAATACAATCTTTAAAAAAACACATAGTTACAGTGGAACCCTAGCAGTATTTTCTGTAAGAGTTTGCAAATAACAAAAAATGCCTAAAAAGCAACAGATTCTGCCTGAACGTGCTCTTCGCTCCCCCATCACCGAGTGTTTGTGGCCCATTGGCTGAATTGGGGACGGTATTATGGGATAAATTATGTCCCCCCAAAATTCAGACGCTAAACCCTAACCCCAGTACCTCAGAATGTGGCTGTATTAGAAGACAAGGCCTTTAAAAGAGGTAACTAAGGTAAAAGGAGGCCAGGAAGGTGGGCCCAAATCCAGTCCAACCCATGTCCTTACAAAAAGGGGAGAGCTGCTCACGAGACACACCAGGGGCGAAAGACCGCGCGAGGACACAGCCAGAGGATGGCTCTCTGAAAAGCAGGAGGAGAGGCCTCGGCAGAAATCACACCTGTCGACACCTCGCTCTTGGACTTCAGCCCGCAGAACGGTGAGAAAACGCATCTCTGTTGCTTAGGTCACCCCATCTGCGGTGCGCAATTACGGCCACCCTCGCAGATGAATTGGGTCGGTAATGCAGGACCCTGGCCAAGTCACTTGATGTCCCTCAGCCTGGCTGGGAAACAGGAGATGATGACACCATCTCTCTGACATCCTGTCGTGGAGACTAAGGGAGATACGGACACCGGGGAAGGCTCTGTCACGCATCCTGGCCCCAGGTACGCTCCCTAAGGGTCCAGTTCTAGCCATTTCTCCCCCAGCTGATTCGAGTGCTGCCTCCTTCGTGGGTTGGCTGTCTGGTCCGGGGCTGCGTGAATGCCATCAGTAAACAGTCACGCTGCAGAATGTCTTCCCGAGGCCCCTTCGGGGCCCGACTGCAGTGCTGGTCGCCACGGATCAGTCGCTCATAAAATGGTGCATTCCCCGCGTGCACATGCCCTCTGTTAATTAGCACTGGTAATCTGCAACAGTTCTGTGAGCAGGGAGTTGAGCAAATGAACAGCAACTGTTCCCTACTTATTTTTTTAATTAATAGCCAGCGAGACGTGCTATCGCTCGCAGCGTGTGTTTGGACGCGCCTTGATTGCCACGTGATGGGGATGGGGACAGGGAGGGAGGGAAGGAGGGAGGTCAGCTCCCAGCTCCAAGAAGGAACATGGGGCTGGCTTTTATTAGCAGAGCCCACAGCACCGTCCTTCTCTGCCGCAGGGGGCTGTGCGGGGCCCTGACCATGCGTGAGTCCCAGGTGTGCAGGACAGTGAGGACCCTCAACCCCTGGGATTGGGAGGTGGATGAACTTGTGCTGGGGAGGGGCGCTGTACTGCCAAGGTGAGCCGGATGGGAGGCCCGGAGAGGCGGCACGGTTCACCTTGGCTGTTGGCAGCTTGGAGGAGGAGGCCCAGATGGGCGGCGGGCAGGCTGCCTCACAGAGGGGCTGCTGGATCGCACAACCCGTGCAAGCTGAAACGTGTGAAGTCCTGCAGCGGGGCTTGGAAATGAAGAAGATGAAGGGTCTATTAACTAAGGAAGTGTCACAACTTGCCAGGGCTGGGATTCGATGGCTTTCACCAGCTTCTGAATTGCTTGCTTTAGATATAATCCCTCGTGGGGGTTGAAGGCAAGTGCTGGTTGGGCAGCCCCTGGGCTCCGGCATTCACTGCCCTCTCCCCTGCTCTCACCAAGAACCTCTGATTTTCCGGTCGGGAAGTCACCCCTTCTCTTTTCTCAGTCAAGAGGGTGGTCCTAGAGGGGTATGGGCCCCTTCCCACCCCAGGGAGGAGGAGCCTGACTGGTCCAATGAAGCAGTGTGGCTGGTCCCCTGAGCCACCAGGAGAGGGGGGCTCCGTGATGGGCCCATGACCCACTCTCTGTCCTGTGGGTGGTGGACATGCTCTTCTCTCCTGACCATAGGGCAAGAGGTAGATACCAGTCCAGCTACTGAGGGGTCCCAGGGAGATAGCAGAGCCAGGCCTGGGTGCTGAGGTGCGGACAGAGCTCAAGGATGCAGCTGAGATGGTGGAGATGTAGCATGAGCTGCTGGATCAAGCCCCACCTGGTCCCCACTGTGGCATTTACTCTAAGAGTCTGCCATTTCCTTCCCTTCCTTGGATAATTCCATGTGCCCTGGGTTTTCTGTTCACCTTAAGAAGACTTGATCAATCCAGGCTCTTTTTAATGTGCCTCAGGTTTTATCACACTTAGGATCTTCACGGCTGAGAAAGCAACTAACTGTTTCATGCAGGGGGCGTGGTGGGGTGGGGTAAAGCCTTGAATTTTCTCGATGTCTCTAGATGTCGAACTTCCAACTGATAATCTGCTGGCTCCTCCTTGCTGTGTGCCAGGACATCGAGGTGCTCGTCCTCACAAGACTCTTCTGTTCTAGCCTCATGGCAGCCCGTGGTCATGGATTATTTACCCAATGTGACAGCCGCACGCTCCCAGGATCAGAGAGCCTAAGAGGTCTGTCTAAGGTTACAGGCCCTCTAAACAATGGCACCAGACCCGGAGCCAGAGCTCGGGTCCAAGCTGGCGTGGGGTTCTTTCTGCTGTCATGGGAGTTCTCTGAGTGGCTCTGGGAGGGCTTACCTGGCCATTCGTGGGAGTGGTGAGTGCCTTGGGCAAAGGAAGGGCTGAGAAGGATATGGGGGGGGGGACACATACCTTCTAACACAAAAGAAACGTGAACCCCCATTACCCTTCCGCCCGGATGCTGCCTTGGCCTTTGGGTTCACGTGCATTAACATGTCACACAGCCGTGGCTTTGCACGGTCCCACTGTCACAACAGACCCAATGGAGATTCACATCACCTTCTGCAGTTAACTCTATCTCCTCGCCATTCTCATCCTGCATAATCCCCATAATGATAATTCCCCTCCTTTTATACCATTGCATTGTGCTTATATATCATGCTTTCCCGATTAGCTCTGTTATCATGAGACATTTATGTTATTTCTGGTTTTTTCCTTCCCCATTCTTCCCTACTTCCAATCATTTCTGCAATAGACATCTTTGTGCCTGTAGCTTTTGCTTTGTGTTCAGTGATTTCCTTAGGGTGAGGAAGTGGGATCGCTGGGCTGGGAGGACATACGTATCTCTAAGGCTGTTCCTGAGCCCGGCCTTTCTGCTTTTCCAGAGAGTTCCACCCATTTACATTGCTGCCAGCTGGGAGAGCCTGCTTTGACCTTGCCAGTCCTAGAGGTTATCATCAAAAAAAATCTGGGAGGGACACCTGGGTGGTTCAGTCAGTGAAGCGTCTGCCTTCGGCTCAGGTCATGATTCCAGGGTTCTGGGATCAAGTCCTGCTCAGCGGGGGGCCTGCTTCTCCCTCTCCCTCTGCCGCTCCCTCTGCTTCTGCTTTTTTTTCTCTCTGGCAAATAAATAAATAAAATCTTAAAATAAAAATCCTGGAGCTCAGATATCAAGTGGGACATGAAGATTGTTCTAACCTGCATTTCCTGATGGCCAACGATGTTGGATGTTTTTCTCTCGGCTTACATGCTATTTATACTGCCTCTTGAGTGAACAGGCTTCTCTTTGCTGTGACCCCTGGTTCCATCCCATGCCTGCCTGGGTGCTGGGTGGGAGGGGGATGGATACTCAGGCAGAGGGACGTTAAGTTTACCAGTGTCACCATCCCCACCGCATGGAGATGATGGCACCGAGGAACCCTTCCGCCCTTGGTTTTCGGGCGAGATGCCGAATGCATCTAGAAATCCCTGTAAGTCAACATTCTCACCTCTGGGTCTGGCACACACTCCTCCGTTGCTGAAGCAACCGTGCTGAGCTGGGCAGAGTCGCTTTCGATGGCCTGGAGCACTTTCAGAAGCCTTTGCTGCTGCCTGAAAGGGGATTTTGGTTTAGCAAGCCGGCAGTGACAGATGGTTCACACCAGAGATCAGACCCATCAGCACCAACTTTTCTAGCTCAGAAGAAGCTGCGGTTTGAGAAGAAAGTCCCTGCCCCGTGTATAGCTCAAAGGTGCACACGGGCTGTTCCCCCCACCCCCCCCTTTGTAATAACCGGATAACGAGTCATGAAGGAAGAGCCAAGTAGAGGAAGTTGTCTGGGGCAAGACGGCATCAGACCGGAAAGATGGCTAAGATGGTGAAGCTGACTGGTAACTCGGAAGGGTCTAGAGCAAGGGGGTGGCAGATCACAGTCTACAGAGCCTGCGAGCTGAGAATGGCTTTTACCTTTCTGAAGGGCTGTTAAAACCAACCAACCAACCAAGTGAAAGGCCTGAAGAATTTGCTTTCTGGACCTTTACTAAAAACCCCCACTACTCCTGGCCCACACACCTACTTTGCGCCTCCCGTTTCTGGGACCACAGGCATTCCCAACTGAGCAGAGTGGGGTTTGCAAACGCACCCCACATGTGCTGTTTAAGGCAGGGGACCCTCAAGACCCCAGAGCACCAAGGATCTTGAGAACGAAGAAAGCAGCATTGGGGGACACGCGTGCCACCCACAAACGGCTGTATCAGATGGAAGTACCCTCAGGGACTAGCCCTCTCCTGCGTGGAACCCGTGGGTTTGTACACATGGCCGTCAGGGGACACAGCCCTGGTTTCCAATCTGAGGACTGCAGACTCTTAGAGGGATGCCCAGGGGGAGCCCCTCCCAGCATCCCCGGCCCACTGACAGCGAGTTCACCACTGTCTGCTGCACCGGGTACTCTGGGGGGCGGCGGTGGATAAGATCTTACATGGGATGGACGGAACTGGACCAGCAAAGACACTCCGGTGGGAAAGACATAAACTCTGTTCCATGCTTTAGGGCCGGAGGGGGAGGGGGAGGGAGGGTCCGGTATAAGGGAGCAGCTCTACGTGGGCCTGGGATAACGTTATATAGGAGAAGCAAAGAGAAAGCGCAGATAACGAGATTCTCATAGCTGCATTGCTATGGGGTTCTGGTTTTGTGTTGAAGCCACCTTGGTAAGTACCTGCTCCCCAAAAGGCCGATTCTGTCAATGGCTTCGCTGACGGCTCTGGCTCCCCCTGCTGCCCTGGACGGCTCCTGCGGGCTGGCCGGGCTGGTCGTGCTGGTGGCCACGGCTGTAGGAAGCTGTGGGGGAGGGGGATGGCAATGCTTAGGAAGCAGGAAGAGGGAAAAGGACTGAGAGGGACCGAGTCTACATGTGCTGGTGAGATCCAGGATCCCCCACCATGACCTCTGCAAAGACAAGAGATCTCTGTTTCTCATGATCCAGGGAGTCTCAGCAAATGATCTCCTCAATCAGCTATTGAAAAATTTCTCTCATCAAAATCTCATCTCCCCGTCTCGGTCACACCCCTGCTCTGTTTGCTACAGAGTAACCAGACTCCGTGGAAGGATTCTAGTGACATCCTTACGGCCCTTTCATTCTTAATCCTCCTTTGACATTTATCATCTAAACTAGAAACGTGCTCTGTTCTCCATCTGCAAATGATTTTAGTTATTGGAAGCTCTGCGGGTCTGGAGTCAGGTTATCCAGAAATCATGCCTATGGGGTGGGCAGTCCGCAGACAAGTCAGAAATGTCAGCGGACGATGGGAAAGAACAGCTAGGAAAGAACAGAATAAACAGGAGGGACATATAAAGGAAACCTCGATGATGCTCTGGGGAGCTCTCTCCTCCCCTCCCCACTTCGTCTCCCTTCCCCGCCCTGTCCGCCCCCCTACCCTCTGGTGCCCCCCATTCCCACCACTAGTCAGGTTCTTCCCACTTCAACGTATTCCCCTGTCCCTTCTACCTGCTGTTCCGTGTTGCTGGCTCATTCCCTAAGACACAGGGCTCAGCTCAAATGGGACCCTCCAAGGGGCTTCCTCGGACCACCCTTCCAGAGGGTAGCCACCATCTATAATCTTGTCCTCTTGTGTCTCTCTGAAGTCAGAGACTTTGCTTGTTTGCAAGCTCCCTGAGGCCAGGGGCTAATCTGATCTGACTTAGCCACCTCTGTATTCTGAGCACATGGCCTAGACCTGTGCACAATCTAACAAACACATTTCTGGGTGTTGTGTTCGTTCGCGTCTGAACTTGCTGGGGCCCTCTTTGCTGAGATAGGCCTGACTGACCTAGGTAGATACAGATACAATTTATTTATTCAGGGTCCTAAGATTTGTTTTTGTGCTGTCTTGTCAGGAAGCAGAAACATAACAAGGAACTGGAGTCCCCGGGCCTGAGTGAGTTCTGGCCCCCCACTCGGAACCTCGGGCAAGCTACTCCAGCCCAGGTTTCCCTATCCGTGAAATGGCCAGAATGACACAGTGCTCAGGGAGCACAGGGAGGGCCTGCAGGGACCACAGAGGGAAGCCACCTGGAGGTTCCTGGGTGCTGCTGGGGAGAGTGGGCACAGGGTTTTGTTGTCCTGCTCAAGTCCTCACCGACCTCAGGGCTCTCTTCTTTCCCTTTCAGCAGACTGGTCCACGGTTTTGCTGCTGGTCCCTCCATGTCCTAGAATGATATAATCACATGATCTGAGGTCAGAAGAAAGCCATCCATTATATACTCTGCATGGACAGACGAGGGCACAGAGGTGCAAGGACTGTCCTGAGATCCCATAGACACAAACGTCAGGGGCAAAGGACTGAGCTCCAAGAAGACAGACAACAGGTATTGCTCAATGAATGCCCCAAAGGGCAGCCAGTGCTAGAGCCCGGGGAGCAGCTGGAAGTGTGGCGTGTGTAACCGAGGCGTGTCCGAAGCCTCCATCCTCCTGCCTCTTGTGCAAAGCTGAAGGTGGCAGACACAAACACAGACACCTGCCAGGCCAGGGAAGTTTCTGGAACAGGTGCAGTGGGTTAGGGGCAGGAAAACAGGGCAGATATGAGTTCAGGATGCCTATGCAACATCTCCTTTTGCAAGTGCTGCTCAGACACCACCAGTTCCCCGGGGAGCCTCCTGTGGTCCCTCCCCTCTACCCCTGAACGCACCTGCAGTGGGCTGGTGGGAGGCTTTCTGCCGACGAGGGCCCTCTGCAGGGCTTCGTTCTCCACCTGGATGGCCCTGAGCACCGCTGAGGCGTCTTCCTCTCGGTCCTCAGCCTCATGCACAGGTTTTCGGGTGGTCGAGAAGGGTCTCTCGCGGCGGCTTCCGGGTCCTGCAGGCGGGAAATGGGGTGCGCCTTTAGACCGCATTCACGGAGTGCAGCTCAAAATCCGTTAGACCTGAATTGAGGAACATTCTATAAAACAACTGGCTTGTACTCTCCAAAAATGTCAAGGTCACACAAGACAAGGAAAAAAAAAGGCCCAGAGAGCGATTCCAAATTAAAGGAGACTGAGCAGACATGGCAGCAGGATGTGGTTACAAACCTGGCACTGGATCCTGGGTGGGAAAACACTGGCGGAAAGGACATTACTACAGCAAGTAGAGGAACCCCAATACAGTGTGTGGCATAGATAATAGTATTGTAGTGATGCTTACTCTCCTGAATTTCCTAAGTGTGCTGTGCTCATGGGAAATGAATTGCCCCAGTCTTAGGAGACACACACTGCAGTGTTTAGAGGTAAAGGAGAATGATGTCTGTAACTGAATCTCCAATACACACACACACACACACACACACACACACATCCATCCACACACAGACACACACAGAGCACAAACAGAAATCAGTGGGAACAAGGGGTGCCTGGCTGGCTCAGTCGGTTGAGTGTCCCACTCTTGATCTTGGAGTCGTGAGTTCAAGCCCCATGTTGGGCCTGGAGCTTATGTAAAACAAAACCGATCAATCCATCAACTGGGACAAAAATGTTACCAGCCAGTGAGTGTGGCTGGAGGGTCTATGGAGGGTCAACTGTGCTATCCTCACAACTTTAAGTTTGAAATCGCATCTAAATAAAAAGTTGTAAGCTCTAACGAAGTGCTTATGGGGAATAATATATGCTCTCGTGGAGACAGATGGGTATCTGGGAATATTTTATTTTATCCTGTTTTGCTTTTCCATGGGCAACAAGAATTGCAAAGACTTTATATCCCAATTTAAGAAAAAACGCATTGCAATGCTGTGGGCGATTCCAGAAGTTCTAAGGAGAGGACAATTGGTTTTATAAAGTGACATGCAGACAGAGCCCAGTAAGACTGGCTGAATGAAATAAATAACGGTACGCCCACCCAACAGAGGGCTACGCAGCAAAGGAAAGCAGACTAAACTATCTGCAGATAAAATTAAAGGATGACTCGAATTTCCTTCCTAATCATCTGGGCAGTGGGTGGGCATGTAGATGAAGAGACATTGGCCATCAATTCATGACTGCCAAGGCCAGGTAATGGACACACGGAGGTCACTGTAACACCCTCTCAATTACTTATGTGTGGAATCTTTCCATATTAGGGAAAAAAAAAAACCTCCATTTAAAAACAGAACTGCCCCGGGCGCCTGGGTGGCTCAGTGGGTTAAAGCCTCTGCCTTCAGCTCAGTTCATGATCCCAGGGTCCTGGGATTGAGCCCCACATCAGGCTCTCTGCTCAGCGGGGAGCCTGCTTTCCCCCTCTCTCTGTCTCTGCCTGCCTCTCTGCCTACTTGTGATCTCTGTCTGTGAAATAAATAAAAAAAATCTTTAAAAAAAAAAAAAATAAAAATAAAAATAGAACTGCCCGAAATGTTTCTATCAGAATGCTTAAAGAGGCTTTTCCCAATTGACTTTCATCCCCTCGGCAAATATTTCTTGAGGGCCACTGTGCCTGGCTCTGTCCTCGGCACTGGGGACCCAGCAGTGACGAGACGGATTGAGAACCCGGCTTTGTAAAGTAGGACAAGTAGCCAGGAGAAATGATCAACAAAATAGAGTGTTAGACATCAGAAAATGTTACAGAAGAACAGGCAAGAGCAGAACAGAGTGGGGCTGCGGGTGGGTGAGGCTGTGGTCCAGGCATTGGCGTGGACACACCCGTGGGCGGTGTGCTCATGGAGCAGCCAGGTGCCGTGTGTGGGCTGACAGGTTGAGACAGGGAGACAGGTTCAGGAGACCCAAGTTGGGGATCACTCAAAGCTGTGGAGGACAAGGTTGCTATTCTGAGTGAAAGGGAGAGCCATGGTAGGCTCTAAAGGAGGGGAGGACTTGACCTGACTTAGGTGCTGAGCTGGGGACAGAAGGGACAAGGTTTCTAGAAGTTTCTAGCTGCAGCCAGAGGGAGGCATGGCAGCGGCAGGGAAGGGACACAGACTGCGGTCAGATCCTGCAAATGTAGTGAAGGCGGGGCCCATGGGGTGGCCTGACAACGTGGGTGTGGCTGGGAGAGAGGAAGGGCTGAGCGACAAGGGCTCTGGGTGGAGCAGGTTTGGGAGTGGAGAGCAGGGGCTCAGGTTTGGACAGATTAGGCCCAAGATGTATGATTCAGACATCCAAGTGGAGCCAACAAGTTGCACGTACACACTCGAGTCTGAGTCTGGGAGCAGGTCTGTGCCAGAGGTGTGAATTCGGCAGAAGCGACTGGATTGTATCAACTAGCAGTCATGTCAAAGATTGACACAGACGCCGGCCTCTAACACACTGGGAATTCACGGGTGACCTCTTAGGATATATGAAACAGCATCCTCTGAATACTGAGTCCTTGAGCCCATCCATCCACGCTGAGGACTGAGCATTCCATGCAGCACTTGACCCGTCTACTACATCGTGTTAGAATGCTACGTCTGAAGGAATGTTCTAGCAGCAACATCCGGAATGGCCTTGGGAGGAGAGGAGTGGAAGCACGGCAGTTCCACCAGGCTAGCTTCCAGTATGGCTGGGCACTGGGCTGATGGGAGACCATGGGTTTTTATGGGAAAGCTCAACCAAAATGAGGGCATATCAGTTTCTACCAGGCACCCAGGGAGTGGCTGTGAATTTGAATGCCCCGGGCCAGGGGCGGCAGCCCAGCTCCAGCCAGCAGCTGCCATCTGAGCTACACTCCCAGTATTGTCTTTTTATCCCCCCGCCCAAGAAAAGCTACAATCTGAAATCTATGTGAAATCCCCTGAATTTTATGTGTTTACAGACATACTCTGGTTTTTAAGAAACCTTATGAAGGCCAATAGAGCCCGAAGGGCCAGCCTACCCCAAGGCCACAAGTCCAAGCCACTCTCCCAGGAGGGTCAGGGGCGCCCAAAGGAACCTCAAATGCCTGCGGATGGCCGGCCTGGGCAATAAACAGTGAGTGGGTCATTTTCTGACTTTGATGTACGGTCTCTCGTTGTTGCCCCAATGCTGCTCCCAGGGACAGAAGCGCAAGGAGCTGCTGGGAAAGTGACCCGGGATTCTGCTCATCCCGGTCAAGGCCACTTTACAGCCTTCCTTGCTGGCCCTTCTTAGGAGGGACTTGGTCTGCTCTGCAACAGGGCCAGGGGGAGGGGCGAGGGAATAAGACGGTAAAACAAATACCCAAACAGAGCAGAAAGGAGGACTGGCAGCAGCTCAGCATATCAAGCTGATGGGGGGATGGGGGTGGGGGTCCTTACTGGTGTGGAAATGCGGGTGAGTAAAAGGGATGCAGACGACCACACTGGGCTCAGGTCCTGGGAGTAGCCAGGGGGACAGGGACAGGGAGGAGGAATCAAAGGAAGCTGAAGGACCTGGTCTTGAGCTAAACTGAAGCTGGAACAAAAAAATTCACACCCTCGCCCCCAGGGTAGCTGCGGTGGAAATGGGTTCCTGGCAAGGCAAATTAATGACACAGGCTCTCGACCTACCCTAAGCTGTGGAATGACATGCCCCCCCACCCGCTGCCTCACAGATCTCACAGTCAAGGGGCAGAGACAGACACGGATTAGGCAGGTACACACTGGATCTACTGGCAGGTGGAGACAAGTGCTACAAGGAACAAAGTGGGGCAAAGGCCAGAGGTGACACAGGGAAAGAGACACTATTTGAGCCACTTGGTTAGGGTATGTGACATCTGAGCAGAGACCTGAAGGCAGTGGGCCCTGCAAATACCCACACGGGGAGGCCATTCCAGACCAAGGGAACAGCAGGTGCCAAGGCCCTGAGGTGGGCGGGGCTTGCCAGATGAGGTACGGCAAGGCAGCCTGGAGTGGGCAGGAGGGTGAAGAGATCTCGGCCTTGGTTCTCATGTGGGCCATGTTCCCCAAGGCCATGTCAGCCCAACAGGCCTCATGCTACGACCCTGGCACTTGGCATGATGATTTTTGTCAAAGGGATGTACGGAAAATGATTTCAACCCCAAACTTTGTCAGTCTCGGTTTTTGTGAATATCACTACAGCGTACGGTTTCCTCCACCATCTGCAGGAAAGCAGAGCTGAAGAATTCAAGGCTCCTTCTGATCCTATAGGTGATTCTATAAATTAGGGACTGAGGTCGTGTGTAAAGCTAAACATGTGTGCTCACGCTATGACATGAGGGAGGGCAAACCCTTGTGTCGAGGGAAGTCTTAGGCAGTACCAGGACAAGCAGAACCTGCAACTCATGAGCTCCTCCTCCACGGCCCACATGGAGCACGTATAAAGTCGTTCTAAAGGGAGCTGGGTGGCGACCCCTCCCTTTTTACCGTCTTTCCGTGGGCAAGTGGCCTGCCCTCTGTTGCCTCAGTGGCCCGGGACTGGGGTGGAAGAGGGCGCCAGAGACCACCACCTGTCCTTGGTCGCTGTGACCCTAGACTCACCTCTTCTTCAAAAAGGATACTGAGAAAGGCTTTTTCTTCCAGTGGAGTCCAGTTCTAGCTGCAAAAACACTTTTGCCCCAAGCATCTTTCCCTTGGGAGGGAACGCTCCCCCCGACAGCAGGATCACCGTGAGCTGCCTGTGCCTTTGAGTCATACTATGCTAAGATGATGCTTTTAGAAATTAAATCACCCTTTCTCTGAAGGTCAACCCTGAAGCTCCCCTACCAGAGCCTTCCCCACCCATGGCTTTCCAGAAACGTTGGCACAGGGCGCTTGCGTCCTCCTGAACCTCATCTCTGCTAATCAGTTCGTGTTCACTGAGCATTTCCTCACGACACATGAGGCAACCACCTTTTAACTCATGTCGACGCTCTCATCGCTCACTTGGCCGAGCCCGTTTTGCACCAGCCTGAACACCACATGAGGGCGGATTTATTTTTGTCGTACACCTAGAGAATGGCAGATTTATTCACACAATAAATTTGTGCCACCAGCAA